CATGTTGAATCAAGGTAAAGGCGAACGCGACATCTAGTCGATTCTGGGATCCTGATCTTATCTGACAGATAGATTAACTTTTATGCTGTTAGTGGTAGGTGGAGCTGCATGCATTATACTAAAGTTATTGGCTTCAAAATAATCTAGATGGCACTGAAGGTCGCAAATAACTAGCCATTTTGGACATTTAGGCATCAAAATGGCACCCCCACTTCTTTGACACCCCCCGCTTCATCTCTGTAATACAATGAAAAACACTGCGCTTTCAAAGAAAAAAAAATGGCACCCCCACTTCTCACCTGAATGTACAATAGAATTTGCCAACAGGGATCTAAAAAGACTCAAATTAGTCCTAGGACACAACTCACATGTACTCAGGACAGCTAAAGATCCAATATGCACAAGAGATGTTTCTGTTAATATGTTTTTTTTTTGCGAGTTCTGTTAATATGAATTTGGATGCTTATGTGCCACTCTACCTCGCCAGAATGAGAAATTATAAATTTGTCCTAATTGTCCTAACTCTTGACAACAATTCTAACTTTCAACCACAGTGTGCCCCGATAATATCCTGCTAAGCCTACAGAGGATCTCAGGAGGAATTGAAGAGAGGCTGACGCGAGTTCACCGAGGTGGCGCTTGGTGGTACCGACGAGTCGACAAGGCAGCGGCAACACCGCGCCGCGAGGACGCCGACCTCCCTCTCCCCTATGACCTTGTCGGCTGCGTCGACCTCCTTCGCCCCTTGCAAGTTCCACCACCAACCACCTCGTCACCTCGGCGGCTCCAGTTCCTCCGGCGAAGGCTCCGCCGCCGCCTCCACAATGTGGGGCTGTGGCCTGTGAGCTTCTGTGTTGTGGGCTTGTGGCTGGTTGGCTAGGCAGTTTGCACGATTCGTCGAACCGGGCCTGCTGAGACACAGACAAAGCCCAGCAGAGGATATTACCGTTAGGCTGTTTCGGTGAAGACCCAGCAACCAAAAATTCTTGTCGTTGAATTTTGTAACTAGATATCTTACTCTTTAATTAACTCTTATATAAAATTATTTAAGTTACCTTATGTCCTTTAAATTACCTTTATATCCAGCTTCGAAGTAGTTTTGAAGATGATTTTATTCCATTTCGTTAAAAGATATGATAAATACATAATAAGGGTTTTTAAATCACGAAATATGTCTCTAAGATTTATCTTTGAGAAAAATTTAGAGATAGAATTGGACAAAAACCGAAAATCAAATATTTAGAGCTTGTGAAAATACCTCTAGAAGGTTCCAAAAATAGATTTTACACTATAAAAATAAGAAGAATATCCCAAAAAAATAGAAAATTCTCAACACATTATTGATGTCTAAATAAATGTGTTTTAAGAATTTTCATTACCAAAGTATAAGATGCAACTAACAAGAATGCAACAAATGTTTGATGTTGAATGTATTCATTGTACATATTCATGATAGTTGCATCTCATGTGTTTATTATGGAAAGTTTTTTAAACGGGTTTAGACATTGATTAGAATGCTTTTAGATTTGTTTTTCAAAAACACTCTAGATCTCATTTCCCTAGAGATAAATTTAACTTTTTGAAGTTTCTAGATATACTTTCACAAGTTCTAGATATTTTTTTTGTGTATGTCGTGTACTCATGTCGGAATATATATATGAATTTTCTTGAAATTTTAGAAGCTTAGAGATTTTTTTATGGTTTAAAAACCTAGTTGGTATTTATGGGATTTTTAAACTAAATAAATGAAACCATCTTGAAACCACTTCTAACCGAAGTAGGAAAATAATTTAAATAATTTTGATGATTTTTGGGATATGGTGTCCGGTTTTAGAGTTCGACAAGGAAAATACGATAGTTGTGAAGGTAGAACCGTAGAAGAGACTTTTTGCACCAATAAACCGACATTATCATGCCATAAATTCAAATCAGATCTAGGAAAAAACGGGTAGCTTCCTTCACAAGATGGTTGGCTTCCTGGAGATTGCAATTCCTCTCGCATACCTCTCGAACTTAGAAGCGTTTATTCAAAATTTAGAAAATTAGGCTCCATTTGGACCAAAGGAAAATTATAGGAATTTTGGAGGATTGTACTCCTATAGGAAACTTTCCCATTTGTCCCTTTGGAACAAAAGACTAAACCCTATGAAATTGTGGGTTTACATGTATAGGTAGTAGGTACGGTATTGGTGTCATCCTGCTTGGTGAAGTCATGTTTGACTAATAGTCGCCCATGCATTGTTCTGTCCGATCGGTGTACTGTAGAGTTAACTCCCTGCCATCGTTGGATCTGAGGGGACGACCGTGATGACTCCGTCAAGTTGGGAAGGTGGGAAAACGTCCCCCCTTTCCAAGCTGGTTAGGTGAGATCATGCCAACATACTGGCAAGCATGCTCATTTGTGCCGCTCGTCACTGTGCCTAACGCAATTCGTACCGATCTAGGTGTGGGGAGTACTGTAGCCTCTTTGTTGTGTTGCAGATCTTCATTCATGTATTTGACTCAAAAGCCCCTGAGCTCCTAACCAAGCTTGCTGACTAAGCACCTTGTCATGTGTGAAAAGCCCTCGAGCTGGAGGCCTTAGACTACCCACAATGTTGGTTTTCTATGACGCAGAAAGAGGAGAGAGAGTGTTGGAGCATCGGTGCCGACCATTGTGGCTATTGATGCCAAGTTCAATTTTTGTCTACTCGTGGCATCCTTCCCCGGTGCTGAAAGAGTAAAAAAATATTTTTCAGCCGGCCGCTGGTCCTGCTCTTTCGCACGCTGAGCAGTGAACACTCACCTTCTGCACGTTGGTTTGAAACTTTAGATCCCACGTACAGCAAAGCATCGATGTTGACACTGTAGCCATATATGGTTTTCGTGCATCGATATAAGGTGGCATGCTGAGATGTTTTTCCGCATCGGTACGCTGTGGCCAGTCTAAGACCAATTGGCTTGGTCAACCTAGTAATCAAGTAGGAGTTGGTGTTTTGGTGAGGATACCATATACCTAGGGGCATGTTTGGTACGCGGCCTCAAGCCAGCCCGGCCCAGCGGCCATGCCAATGCCAGCCACAACCGGTCCAACCCGGTGCAAGTGACCTTGTTTGGTTGCCTGTACCAAATGGACCAAGGCCATAAGAGATTGTGTTTGATAGCACACCCCGTAGCCCGGCCAAAGACCAACTAACTCCAACTGCCACTTTGAGATGGTGTTTGGCACGCGGCTAGGCCCCAAACCGCCACCAGAGAAGAACACAGAGCAATAGAACAGACTTTGCAATGAACGAACACATAGCTATAGAATAGAGTTTGAAGGAATTCCATTACAATATAAATAGAGCTGTCAGCATACAAATTTTGCAGTTTCAAGTTACAGGCCTCAGACACCATCACTAATTAATCATAAAATCATAGCAGGTACTAATCAGAGGTAACCTAGATTAAAGCAAATGAGAATAGAAGGCGAAGTAGGCCAACCAACAGATAGAGGTAACAGAAATGCATCACATAAAATAGAAAAACACCTAACCAGCTCATCCTTCATCTCTGGTGTCATCATTAGCCTAAGAAGTGCACTTGCACTGGCTGCACACCGACAGCCTAAACCAAAGACCACATTCTACCAAGAACCATACTTACCATCAACAGGGGGAGGCAGCAGCTGGGAACCATCTTGGGGATCAATAGGGGGAGCTGTTGGTGCAACAAGAGAGGCATTGGAATCTCTAACAACATGTTCATAGTTAGAGTACTTCTTGTATATGGCATTCTTGTAGCCAAGCACATGTTGACTGAACTCATGCCATGTCATGTAAATCCTAGGTTCTCCCCATTGAAAACAACATAGCAAGTGCCCATTTCTGTTAAATGAAATAGTGGTTTAGCCTCAATCAAATGTAAGCAATGAAGATAGACATGAGTGCGGAACTTGAAGATCTACGGTTTGGGTTGAACCAAATCGTTGATCTCAAATTCCTCACCAATGACAAACTTCAGCAAGTTATAAACAACATATGTGACATCACACGCAGTAAGAAGAATAAGAGTGGCCTCAACTTATGAATTTGGTGGTTTCATTCATATAAGCAAGTCATTGATGGCTGCCATCCAAATGAAAAGAACAAACACAATAGGCAAACAAGTAAAAAACCAAAGTCATGGCTGGTATGGAACCCTACTGACCATCCATTCTCTGCCATCACCTTGGATATAACCCAATTGTTGCTAGAGAATGGATGGTTCAGATGGGTTTGATGACAGACATGAGAAAACAGCAGCAACAATTGACAAAAAAGACAACCACCTCATTCTAGTTGTTGCATCATTGGCCATACAAGTTTCCCACAGTTGCCACCAAGACAAATCATATCAAACAACAAAGCAAGAAGAAGCAGAAGACACAATAGGAACTTGGCATAGATTAACATCAGAATCATGAATAGACATAAGCTTTGGCCGTGGGACACAACCATTCAACAATAGCATCATAATTGATCTATACTACTACCACTGTATGGCTGAGTTTCATGGACAAAGACCAGGTAACAATGACAGATGATGTAGTAAATAGATCCAAAAGAATAGAACCAACGTGTAGTAAATAGAGCCAACAAATCCAACAGAAATATATGAAACCATCAACTGTAGAAAATAGAGCAGCCAACAGAGGCCACTAATAGTGCATTACAGATAGTAGTATAGCCTCACAGATGTAGGCTCAAATAAGGTCCATTTTGCCCAATGTTACCTATAGTTAGCCACCCTCCAACTACACTAACCCAAAAGGACAGGTGTGAATCAGCCAACTAAGCTGCACAAAAGCTATACCAAGGTGTGTACAAAAGGTGAGAGAGTGGGTGAGGGAGGTGGAGGAACTATACATCTCAATAGTAAACCCCCTCTTTGGCCAAGCAGACCAGCATGTAGTTGAACTACATGTAGTAGTTCTTGGCTAGGTAGGTCCTAAGCCAAAAGGTCATGCGACTGTCACTCATGACAACAAAGCCCCTGCCCTAGGCCTTGTTGTCCAGCAGGAAGGTGTAGGCACATATGAGAGCCTCCTTAGAAAATCCAGGCATCTCCATAACAGCAAGAAAGAGGTCTGGATCAACATGGGCTAGTCCAGTCTCCCTAAGTGCATTAGCCACATTGTTAACAGCATCTGACATGTTTATCAGCATGAGCATCTCATCCTCAGTGAAATTTCCCATCTTCCTCTTGCCTCCCACCTGAGATGAGAGCAGCTCTGTGGCCTTACTGCCCTCACCAACCTTAGTGGGGTGTGGGGACCAATACTAGGGTACCCAAAGAGGAGGAGCTAATAACCATCAACGTTGATTCATCCGAGCAGTCAAGAGCGCGACTACAGCTCCAACCGAACCCTAGGTGCGAAAACTCCGCCTCGCCCGACCCCTGAGGGTTGGCTCCGCCTCGCCCAACACTAAGGCCATGGGCTCCACCTCGCCTGACCCCTACGGGTTCGCTTTGCCTTGCCCTACACCGAGGCCATGGGCTCCACCTCGTCCGACCCCTGAGGGTTGGCTCCACCTCGCCCAACACCGACGCCGTGGGCTCTGCCTCGCCCGACCCTTGAGGGCTGGCTCCGCCTCGCCTGACCTCTGAGGGCTAGCTCCGCCTCGCTTGACCCCTGAGGGTTGGCTCTGCCTCGCCTGACACCGAGGCCGTGGGGTCCGCCTCGCCCAACCTCTAGGGGCGGGCTCCATCTCACCCGACACCAAGGCCATGGGCTCCACCTCGCTTGACCTCTAAAGGCTGGCTCCGCCTCACCCGACCCTTGGGTTTGGGCTCCGCCTTGCCCGAGCCTTGAGTTTGCACTCTGCCTCACCCGACCTCTAGGGAGGAACTCCGCCTCACCCGACCCCGAGGCCGGGGACTCCGTCTGGCTTGACGGAGACCCATATCGCCACCAACCACTCCAGGTCCAAGTGTATGGACCTAGGTCAAAGCTCTTATGCTAGGGAAGAGACTGGCACGCGCTCGAGGTAGCCCGTGACCCATGATGGGCCATACCTAGGGGTTCATGTTAGGAACAGTCGTCGGGCGTACCGGTGTTGTTCTGTCTAACCCTCGTACGAACACTGACGGGCGTGTCAGTTCACCACGATGTCTACCAGGATGGAGTGGAGCACCATGACCGACAGACAACAATGCCTGCATGTGGCGTCAGTGATGGATAGGGCTACGATGAGAAGCTATCCCTATTGATGTCTACAGGGTCAGTGGGACCTGCATAGAGGAGAAGAAGGACCTGGCGATCTTGAAGGACTTCTTCCTCTCATTCTCTTCTCTTCCTCCACTGTAACTCATGCTTTCCCTTGGCCTATAAAAGGGAAAGCAGGGCATCCCACAAGGGGCATCAAAACTCATCGCAACACATAGCATCGATTTAGGCTGGAACCCATCGAACCCCGAACCGATCAGAACACACAAGCACATAGCCAGGAAGCGACCGAGCCCTTGGCACCCGTTCGCTCCTCTCATTAGAGACTTAGGACCCGTCTCTCTCGATCATTTGTAACCCCTACTACAAACTTTTAGTGCTAGTAACACGAGCAACAGCAACGAACTGGACGTAGGGACATTCTGCCCGAACCAGTATAAACCTCATGTCTTCTTAGCACACCATCCGAGCCAGACACGCAATATTAGAAATTTACTAGTCGGTGGCAACTCAAAACACCGACAGTTGGCGCGCCAGGTAGAGGCCTTTTGCACATCTCGACATTCACACCAGGCCTCGGATGGCTAGTCAGAACCTTAGCTGGGTCCCAGGCGTGCACGTGTGCTCTGAGGACCTAGACTTCATCGTCATGATAGAGGGAGAGTTGGCGATATCTCCTATGGCCGTCTAACCTCTCCACTCTGCCAGCCTCAATGCAATCGCCGAGGCACTTGAGTAGCTGCAGCTGCATGCACCGGAGGCCCGTGCATCCGGAAGCGACTAGCTCTCGGACTTCGACTATGGGAGGTTAGAGCACTAGCTCGACGCCTTCCTGGGACCCCGATCGTCCCGGGAGGACCTGCACCACCTTACCTTCTTGTTCGCCAATGTCATGGTGCAGCTTGTCGGAGGGAAGCAACTCTCTGAAATACCTCATCCGGAGCGCCCCGACAGCGCTCCCGTTCAGTCTCTCGCAACGCCGCAGAGACCGATGGCCACCCTTTGGCGCAACGCACGCCTCTGTCCCCCACGAACGACGAGTTTGTGGGGATGACCGAATATGTCGTGGAGTCTTTCCATGACCTCCTCACAAGAGAATCGGAGTCGCCCTCTAGCTCTAACTCCAGTAGGGGCAGCCATCACGCCTCTCATGAGTGTTTCATGGTGGGTACCCTCGAGGGGCATGTCAAAAGCATCCATGAGGAAGAGGCTACCCAAACGAATGACCTCGACGATGAGGTCAGGGGGATGCAGGGGCACTGTCTCGCCTATGGGTGGAGCAGCTAAAGGCATGGCACTAAGAGCTCGAGGAAGCATGACTCTAGCTCGAGCATGAATGCATAGAGCTCAATCGAGAAATCAAGCGCCATGGACACGGTGGACGCGTGCGTGCCATGGCCCGTGACATGAACTGAAGGATCATCGAGGATGGTGAAGCCCACCCACACTTCGCCCGAGCAAGCCAGAACATCGCTACTATGGTGGCCTTGCTCCATGGGCTTTTGGGGTCCGTGACACCCGAGGATCGTCGGACCCATTATGAGATTTGCACGCTACTCGAGCGTGCGGTGGCGCAGCAAGCCGAAAGCTCATTGTCTCGACGATGTGAGCTCGACGCCAGCCAGCGCACTCCCTCGGAGCGACCCGACAAGGACACATCAGTCCACCAGGCGCCGCAAGGTGGCAGGCTACGCACCATGGTCCCGGTGCATGAGCGTCTCGGCCGCAACCGTGACACGCGTGATAGCCTTAATGCTCGTCAGGAGTACCCATGGCGATGCGGGGAAGGAGCTAGCCGTGGCTACCACCCCCGTCGTGGCGGATGCTACGACAATGATGGGGACCAAAGCCTGAGTCCCGGCCTGCCGGGACCTCAGGCCTTCGGCCGACACATCCTCAACGCCACCTTCCCACCACGGTACCGACCACCAACCAACATCCCGAAATACTTTGGGGAAATGAACCTCGGACTGTGGCTCAAGGATTATCGGCTTGCTTGCTAAGCCTATGGAGTGAATAATGATGACTTCATCATCCGCAACCTTCCATTGTTCCTGGCCTATTTGGCACGAACATGGTTGGAACACCTTTCGCCCAACAGAATCCAAAGTTGGGCGGACCTAAAAGAGATCTTTGTGGGGAACTTCTAGAGCACATACAAGCATCCTGGGAACCCATGGGATCTCAAAAACCGCCGACAGAAGGATGATGGGTACATCCGGTGCTTCTTCTAGCAGTGCAACGAGCTGCCTAACGTCACCGACGCCGACGTTATAGGAGCTTTCCTATCTGGGACCACCTGCGAGTCTTTGGTTCACAAGCTAGGACGTAATGGCTTGCGAACCACTAAGGAGCTCCTCGACATCACCACAAGCCATGCCTCGGGCGAGGAGGCGCCTCAAAGGCAAGGCAAAGCGGGACAAAGACGCCGGGAGGGCGCCTCCGACCATCCCGACAAGAAGAAGAACATGCAGTGTCATGAGGGTTTGCTTGTGGCCACCGCCGACTGCAAAGGGGGTCGGACACCCACTGAGGGTACCCCGAACCACTTTGAGAAGCTGCTCAAAGGGCCATGCCCAAACCATTCTTTCCCCGACGAGCATCTATACAAGGACTATGACCTCTTAAAGTGGTTCTCCTCTAGAGGCTCCAACAAGGGGAGCACAGGAAGGAGCCTAGCTAGATGAAGCATGCGACGTTGCCCTACTCCGCTCGGCCAAGTACCAGCAAGCGTTGCGCCGGTACCACAGCCATCGAGTGCGGGGTTAGGCCTTCAACATCGAAGACCTAGTCCTCTACCTCATCCAGAGCAGCAAGGATCGCCACAAGCTCTCTCGACCGTAGGAGGGACCATACGTCATCGTGGAGGTGCTCTGGCTAGGCGCCTACAAGCTCAAGACCATCGACGGCGAGGTCTTCATCAATGCCTAGAACATCGAGCGGCTATGTCACTTTTACCCTTAAGAAACATGCACTTTCTCTTATCAATTTCATTATCTAACTCCCTGACCTTTAGTGACACCCAACCCCAGCAACGGTGGGGGTTTGGGCCTCACTCGGGGGCTAATAAGAGCGTACCTATCCGGTAGACATTCTCTACGCCCAACCCTCTCTCACGTTAAAGCCCAGAAGCGAGGTTTGTGGAAATGAATACTGAGTAAAACTGGTCGGACTACGAGGGACCTACGCCTCAGTGGCTATGGCACCTTTGCTCACCAGCGTGATCAGAGTTTTTTTCCACACCCTGGGCTTTTTTGGCCTTAGCCACGAGAAGTGACGGTGCGCATCTAAGAGTTTATCCACCTGGCCTACTTTCTTTGTGCCCAACCCCCTATCATGTTAAGACCTAGGAGCTAGGGTTGCAGGAACAAGCTCTGAGTATAAATGTACGGACTGTGAGAAACCTACGCCCCAGCGACTACGGCGCCTTTGCTCACCAGCATGATCAGAATTTGCTCACCCGCCCCCCGAGCTTTACGACCTTAACGACGGAAAGGGTCGGAATGCACTAACCTTTTTATTCAAAAAGGGGAGAAGGGCTAAAAAGCTATTTGGCTATAGCGAAATTTAAGAGCTCGTCCATTTATTACAAGTTCGCCGCCTGGCTTATCAGCCTAACTAAACTCTTGCGCGGGATGTTCTCATCCTCTATCTCCATAGGTAAGTCCTGTCCCAGCAGGGCAATACAAGTGATCGGACAGCTTAGCCACTACCGAGGGACATGTAGGGAGCAGCAGGATGCCCCACACGGGTCATGCTGACCCCGTCACGAACGATGGATCCGGATTCCACTCGATCATATCCGGTAAAAGCTCCCCGAACCCATCACTCATACTATCGAGGTAAATCATGTGCCCAAGTCGATCGAATGGCTCAAAGCCACTGCCGAGAGATGGGTCACCCTTAATTTACACATGATTTCTCCTATTAATTTTGCTATTGAGCCTTTGACCCCAGCGACGGCAGGGGGTCGGGCCTCGCTCGGGGGCTGGCAAGAGTGTCTATTCGGTAGACATTCTCTATGCCTGACCCTCCTCATGCTCAAAA